AAAAAGATCAAGGGGAAAATTAAAGCAGGAATCATTAATCAAAATCAGATGAGCGTTGGCTAGCTCATGACGAATTAAACAATTAATTAATAAAGCACAGTAAGTTGTATAACTCACCGTGACTTTCTCCAACTATAACTCAGATTCAATAGCTTCAAATTCGGAAACCACTCTGCAAAAGTTTAGTGCCAAGCTGCCAGCTAGACAGCTGCCGGAGAGCAATGAATAAGAGAATTAATGAATATTGAAGGAAAGAGGAATTTGTATTGAAGTTCATAAATCAGAAAATATGGATGAGGGTGGGATAATTGTGGTACTTACATACCGAGAAGCGATCTGATCAGGCGTTGTCTCAGCTCAAGCACTGACCTTTGTTGGAAGAGTAAAGAACCATAGAAAATGAAGAGGTCAATGTATATTGGTCCCTTCCTCATAAATAAATATTTATAGGCTTCAAATGCGAGGAGGGATCTGATGTATTTTTTGTTTCAAGGCCTTAAAAAAAAGGATTTGTGTCAATTTTGTTCTTAATTATTTATCTTATCTCTATTATCATATTCTCTTTTATCATATTTCCCCACATATTTTTTTCTTCATATATTATATGGACATATTTAAAAACAAAGATATTTTTTTAATTTATTTATTGTTTTTAACTTATCTTATATAATTGTTTCTTATTCACGAATCTTTTGAGATCAGTAATTGGAGATTTCTATGCATCTTCCATCGTCTTATTCATGAAGCCCCTTTATAAACTGGTGATAATTTCCATGCATCCTCCATCGTCTTATTCATTGCTCACCTCCATTGTGAGTACGTGAAAATTTCGACGCGTCCTCCGTCGTCTTATTCATTGACTTTCTTTATGAGTATATGGAAATTTCCACGCATCTTCTATCATCTTAGCTAGTGTGCTTCCACTATATACGGTGTCGGTCCTCATTACTGCGGAGGAGGATCGTGGTTATTGCTCCGTCAGATTATCCATGTTCGATTTATTTTGAACAACTTAATTTAATTTTCTGACTAAAGTCATTATTATTTTTCACGTTGAAAATTAAAATATATATATGATTTTATTTTTTTTAAACAAAATAATTTTGAAATGAACATTAAAACATAAAATATGACTGAGAACATCTAATTTTAATTTAAACGACTGACATGAACAAAATATGCACAATAAGAATTATTGAATGTGATGAACCCGCTCCACATGTTGTTATCTAGGTTAAATTACATTGATTTTCTATAAGTTTTTTGGTCAATTTATTTATTTTTAATATAAATATTTCTTTAATTTGTTTAGCTACGAAATTTATTTATCAGATTTTCATTAAAACCAACACAAGCTTAAACTTTAAAATATTCGGAAGACGATGCAAGTAACTTTCCTCTTCTTTTTTTTTTTTTATACAACTTAGAGTTGAAATATATAAAGTTATTTGTCATATATCAATTTCTTAATTGTTGGCCAAATAACAGTCCACAAAGAGCGCGGTGCTGTTTCTTTCCGTTGTATTTTTTTTCAAAAAAAAAAAAGAAGGAAAGAAAGAGGAATGCGCTGCCGTTAGTTAATAATAAAACAATCTATTAAATATTAATATCAACATAGTAGCGTGCAAAGCTTGTCCGCGTGTTTCCAAGCAGTTTCCTGAAGTTCGATTAGCTAAGGTCGAGCTGGGAAGCTTTTCAATGACACTGCCAAGATGATTACACGGGTCTATTTTAATTTTCAAATTAAGAAAACCTAAAAATCAATCAACTTTCTTAACTTATAAATTTAAGTATTATTTAAAGTTTAAAAAATTTAAAATTCACAGCCAATGAGTAATTATGTTTATTTGAATTTAGTGGTTGAATTATTTGAATTTATTTCAAATTTTAGCTTTAGAATATATATATGTGTGCGCGCGCATGTATGTATTAACTTGAAATATTGATAACGAAAAAATCGGTTTTACTGTATATCTCAGGTAGTTTGAGAAAAATCATGTGAATAATTAAGTTTGCTATAAATTTAAACGAATACTGCGAAGAAACTCACATGCGTCACTTTGTCTGGCATCCTCTGTTTTGTAAATGATTATTGTTTATTTTGCAGTACTTCATTTTTATTTTCACTTCTCTCTCATCTGCATCTCAAAACAAAGGGAGCTTGCAACTTGTTAGTCCTCTCTTTTTATTTTTTTGATATAAGGAGAGAACCTGTTACTAGAGCCGGAAAAACGGGCCGAGCCCGTCGGACCAACCTGTTTAGACCCTGAAATTGTGAGGGTTGAGTTTGATATTTTTCTCTTAAAATGAGAAATAAGCCCTGGAGGGCCGATGGCTTAGAAGGGCCGACCCTGGAGGGCCGCGGGCCGGCCCTTTTTAGCCCTTTTATTTTTTTTTTTAAATTTTTTTATATAATATTAATGTTATTAATTTTTTACATTGTTAATAATATTTCAAATATTTAGTTATTATTATCATTTTAAAATTAAATTTAGTTTTAGACAATAATTTATCCAATTAAATTTTTAAAAAATGAGTTAATTTGGACTTTAATAATGATTTGATTTATATTATATGCGTTAATATTTTTAAACTATATATATTTGATAATAGAATATTTTTATACTTATATAACTTGTGATTCTATAATTTGAATTAGAAATTCATGAGTTTCAACAACAATGTTTCTCACGTTAAAGTAAAATAATAGTTAGATTGCAAAATTTAAAAATAAAATTCTTATAAAAAAGAAAAACTTGATATTTTTGTTGCGAAAGAAAAACATACTTATGAAGAAAAGTAATTAATTATAGTGATGATGAAGTTTCAAAAGATTAATGATAATGTTTATTTATTGCACCATTGCATTATAGATAAAACTTTTAGATGTTGTTATCTTGTTAATGAATGTTTTAGATGTTGATGAATATTTATATATGATGATATTTTATATTTGTGACTTAATTTTATTCATATTTATGTCTTTTATTAATAATTTCATTAGTTTATTTTTATATTTTTATAAAAAAAATATGATAAATATAAAAAATAGTATTTTTTTTTAAACGGGCCAAAAGCCCGCGGGCCGGCCCTGGCCTTGTAGCTTAAGGGCCGGGCCTAGCAAATTGGAATATTTTTAAAATTTCAGTCCTGAAGGGCCGGCCCTTTTAAGCCCGCCAGTCCTGAAGGGCCAGTCCTGGAGGGCCGGGCTGGCCCTGATTCCCAGCTCTACCTGTGACTTCCCACTTGTAAGGGAGGGTCCACGTAATTGATAAGCCTCTCCAAGGCCCCTCTATTACGGTAAATTTTTTATTTATTTCTTTACTCGTCCACCTTTCCATTCTCTTAACAAAAATCAAAAGCGGAATAAAAAGCTCAAAGTTCAAACCAAGCACAATAACCTTTTAAACCATCTCCAGCAAAGAATTTTTCTTTGATATAGTTATTATAAGCTTCAAATAATACAAAAAAATTAGTTAAAACAATAAATAGGTTAAAGATATATACTTTCGTTTTTAAATGTCCTTATACTAAATAAGAAAAAGAATAAAAGGGAATGTATAGTGTAATATGATAAGAGAGTATGATAAATAATTAAAGATAAAATTAAAAAGAACACATTAAATATTAGAATAAACTCAAATTAGAGCTTATAAAATATACTACCTCCCTCTTTAAAAATCATTTGAAGCTTATAAATGGGAATAGATTGAGCAATCTACTGTCGACACTGTTAGAGATATGTCATTATGATTAATTATTTCCAAGAGGGCTGATGCTTAATAGTCCTAAAGTCCATACCTACGCGTGAACGATTGGTGTTTTCGTTGCATGCTCCCTTCCGTGACGTGGCACCGTTTCGTTGTTAGGCTGACTTCCTTTTTTTTTCGGGCGTTGACCCAAAATTGATGCTTTTTCCTTTTCCTGATCTACTCGAGCTTGTGAACTGCGATCACTCAGAAAGCACTCCTTCCATCTCAAACAGCTGGCTTTCATCTTTTCATCTCTGGTCCAAACCCGGTACAATTTACTAATTACTCGTGCTTTTCCTTATAAGGTTTTAATTAAAACATTCCCCGGATTTTCTTTGTTGGCCCTCTTCTATTTTTCCACTTGAAATTTAACTATGAGATTCATTTCTTCTAAGACGAACAGCTCAGAATCTTGTTCTCCTCCGGCTGGAAATATAATGACAAGAATACTTGCATTCAAATTCTAATTCGTTTTCCTGTCTTGCAAATCCCAACATGATTCATTTCCTTATAACCCCGACATGTCTGTTTTATTGAATGGGTTCCTTAAAATATTCGTTGATAGTATTTATGAAACTCGTAGATTGATTAATTTTTTTGCAAAAGAAAAGGTTATAGAAATTTAAAAGTAGGTGCTCAGTATCGTATCATACTATACATGTGTATTTGCGGCTGAGATACACATACGTATTCCATACATGCACATGCGTGTCCAAACACATCATAGTTAAATGAACATACAACATGTTTTGATCGTGTATCGAATTCTATACCGCGCACATATCTTCCGTAACATCTTCAGTTGAATCTTTAATCATTCCAGGAATTTGAGGTTTGGCCATGAATGGGATCAGAAACACAGTCTCTGCTCTCGGAGAGATGGGAGGTGAGCTGGTCACGCAGGTTGCATTGGAGGTATCAGGAGATACATTCAAAGACAAGCTTCGAGCTTTCACTACTGATTTGGAAGACAAATATGAGGACTTACAGCAACGAAGGCTGTTGCTACATGCCTTGAGAAAGGACCTAGAGAGGGAAGTTCAAAGATGTAGAGAGAAAGAAACCACAAGTTCTTACAGCTTGTGGATCACTAAGGCATCAGAGGTTGATGAAGAAGTGAATGATTTGGTGAGTAGATATGAAGCAGCAAAGCAAGCTTCATACGGATTTTTGCAACGACCAAGTCTGTCTTCAGAGGTGGAAGAAAAGCTTAAAGCAATTAAGGAACTAGTTGAACAGAAAAGTTATATGGTTTTTCAAGTTGACAAACCTCCAGAGCGTGTCTTAAAAGTGTTAAATGCTCCTCGTATTGCAGGTTATCCTACCCTACAAGGTGCACTGGAAAAAGTTTTGGAATTGGTCAAAAATAGTAAAATAAAAGCCATTGGAGTTCATGGACTGAAAGGGGTTAGGAAAACAGCAATAATGCAGAATTTGAACAACCATGAAGAGGCTGACAAGTTGTTTGATATTGTCATTTTTGTGGGGGTCCCGGATGATGAGATTCATCTCCAACAAAAAATTGCAAGGCGATTGAAGGTCGATGCCAAAGGGATCAATGACACTGAAGATATTGCCAGAAAAATACACAAAGAGCTGAAGAATAAGAAGTACTTGTTGATTTTGGATGGAGTGGTGGACTCTATTGATTTGAGTCAGCTGGGAATTCCAAACAATGACAATTACAGCAAGGTTGTGGTGACCGCTCAACATAAACAGGTTTGTACCTTGAATGATGCAGACAGGTTGATCAAGGTTGAGCAATTATCTCGTGATGAGGCGTGGAAGATGTTTCGAGATACTGTTGGTCCTAAAATTGATCGGCCAGACATTCCAGAGATTGCTCAACGTGTATGTGACAAGTGCTCTGGTCTTCCACTGCTAATACATAAGATAGCGCGATCTTTCAAATTGAAAGGGAGTGCTCCAAGCTGGAGGGCAGGACTGGAGGATCTTGAAGAACGATGGCCAGATTATGAAAATGAAGGCGTGAACGAGTTGTACTCATTCTTGACATTCTGCTATGACGACTTGAAAGATGAAAAGAAACAGAAATGCTTTCTGTATGCTTCATCGTACCCTGCTGATAGCAAGGTTTACAGTGATTATTTGGTGGAGTGCTTGGCGGCTCAGAATTTCCTTGGTGATATCAATGGGACAAGAAAGTATCAAAATGCACGTGATCGTGGTTATGCAATACTAGAGGACCTCACAAATGTCTCATTACTAGAGAAAGGAAAACAGATGATATATGTCAGCATGAATGATTGTATGAAACAACTTGCTTCATATATATCTTCTAAATATCCTCAGTATAGCTCTTACGTCCTGACTGGAAAGGAACTTGGGGAACCTGAAACATCAAAATCTTGGCAGAATGCGAGGTGGGTATCTTTGATTAACAGCAATTTGCAGACTTTACCAATAGACCAGGATTGTAGTATGCTTGAGACATTATTGTTGCAGAAGAATCCTGAGTTATCTAAAATTCCTGGAACATTTTTCAAGAAGCATATGAGAAACCTGGTGGTGTTAGATATGTATGGTACTGGAATTAAAAGTCTGCCATCATCTGTATCGAAGCTGACTGGTCTTAGGGGACTGTATCTCAATGATTGTGAGCGTCTAACAATGTTGAATTGTGGATTAAGATCACTTGAACGGCTTGAATTTCTTGACATTTGAGGAACCAAAGTGCCCTTCTTATCATCTGATATTGGATACTTGACCAATTTAAGGTGCTTGCGAATCCCATACATTAAAATTGTAGATCAAAGTGAAGATCCAGCTGTCAATGCTAATTACAGTGCGCTTTCAAGGCTTCAAAAATTGGAAGAATTGATAATTGAAGTGGTTTCCTATCAGGAATGGTGTAATGATGCTGCAAATGTGATGCAGCAGTTGGCCTCTCTGGAAAATCTAACCAACCTCAGGTTCAGTTTTCCCACTTCAACAACTCTTCAAAATCTTCTGACAAGGAGAGCTGGTAAACAATTCAGTTCATTCCAATTCTTCGTTGGATGTCAAAACTCTAAGCGTCCTTCAATTCTTGAATCTTTTGAGTACAGAATTTCTAGATATTTGAGATATGACAATGGCGGATGCGAGGATACTCCAGCAATTAGTGCTATACTTCCTCAAACTGATGCATTAGAATTGATCAACTGTAACCATGTCAGAGATCTGTCAAACCTTGGGACAGAAAGCTTGGAGCGTATCCGTGGTATTCTGATTGAGAAATGCAATGAAATTCATACCCTTTTACCAGGAACTGTGAATGGCACAAGAGAGGGAAGCATCCTGCCAAATCTTGAGCAACTGCACCTGATAAACTTGCGTAAGTTGAATTGTGTCTTCAGAGGTCCCTTTCATCAGGAATCCCTTTCCAAACTAAGGGCTTTGACATTGAAAGATTGCTCGTCTTTGAAATACATTTTTGGTGATGGAGCTATTCAACATTTTTCACAGCTTCATTTTCTGGAAGTTCAAAACTGTTCAGATTTTGAAGAACTTATTGCAGCGGTTGATTATGGCAGTGCCGTGCTTCCCAAATTAGAGGTGTTAGTGCTGGCTAATTTGCCGAGACTCAAATCTGTGTACATAGACCAGACCTTGCCATGGTCTTCACTTGAGGTTCTCAAAATATATCAATGCTCAAGATTGAAATCATTGCCTTTAAGCAAGGAGAGGGCAACCAACCTCAGATCCATCAAAGGTGAACCAGAATGGTGGGATGAACTGCAGTGGGCAGACAAGGAGCATTTTCAACATATATTCACCCTCAAGTGGGTGTTAGTCGTTATTCTTTGCTGTACTTGTTGATGTATGAATTGAAAGACTAGCTGTGGCTTTCTTCTGGACTCTTGTATTCCTAGTGTGGCAAAGTACTGCTGTAAAGTGTAAACTGTAATAATTACTAGTACATCGCTGTTGTAATTGGTGTTATATTATTTTACCGTACTCTTGTAATTTGTGCTGTTACATTACTGTTTCAGATGTTGATGATAAACAGCTTGTTGATGTTCTATTTTTCCTACTTCAGGTTAAACATCATGGCCAATTTATATCTATTCTCATTTTCTCACTTCAAGAATTAAAAATTCAGTCAAGCGAAAGAAATGCAGTAAATATATTGTCATTTTAATTATATTATATAAAATATTTTTTAATCCTAGCCCTTAACATGTAGTACTTTAATTTCTCTCGGGCAAATTCTTGAGGCTTACCTTTCACATTCTGTAAAACCCATGGCAGCATGCAGCCAATGACCCTCGGTTCTGACTTCCAGATGGGGTTATTGTAATTTGTAATTTTTAGAGCTTCAAAACCAAGTCAACATTGGAGAATTATGTGCAAGTGGTATTTCCTTCCAGAAAACCTGTTTCTCGTAAAGAAAACACACTACAATGCAACCATACTATTATGAACGTATTGTTTTAATGTTGCATCAAATCCCTTCGAATTCTCTTTATACTCATGTTTGTGGGCACACGTGTCTGTGTGTGGGTCATTTTGATATTCTATTGTTTAAAGAAAAAAGAAATATTCGGGACAAAAAAAAAAGAAAAATATTCGATGCACCAGGAATTTTATTTTTATTGGGGGGGGTGGGGGAGGAAAAAATTTAACGAATTTGATTTTAATAAAAAAAACCGGGAGCTGAATATTTTTAATTAATTTTTATTACCTTTTACAGCTCCTCTCTTGAAAACTTTTAACCTTGCTTGTCCAATTTTTTTCCCCAAAATCAAACATTAAAATCTCCCCTTCCCTCCCCCACCTCTCCCTTCCCCCCTTCCAAGGCTCCAACCAACACCCGGGGGGGGGGGGGTGTTGGAATTTTGTCAAAAGGAAGGCCTCGACGGTTCGAGCACACATCAAGTGTTCCTTAAAAACTCCAAAAAATTTAATCAAAAGACCAAAAAAAAAAAAACAAACAAACAAACAAAAACTCCGCGATTCCACAAAAGGCGAGCAGAAACCTTTGAACTTTCCTAACGCATAATACCAATATCTGAATGAAGAGATGCTTCAGGGCAATGAATCCTATCTAAATTTCTACTTTATCCAAAACTAAAAAAATGAGATAAATTACAATAAGTCACAAGATGAAGATATTTTCTTTTTTTTTGGGACCAAAAACAAGACGAGGATATGAATGAACAAGTTTCTATACATTTGTACATGTCCTTTAAAACAATGCATCGGAAAAGCAGGAAGGATGGTACCTTGCAAGCCCAATCAAAAGCAGCTTCGCATTTTTAATAATCTCCAAATTATCACGCCGGAATAACTTCCACCCACAAATAGCTTCTTTCCCCTTCACACAAAAAAACAGAAGGGGTCATTTTAAAGCTCCAACCAAGCACTACCAACTACCAAGTTCGAGGACTATCAATTTGCTTTCTCATCCAAATATTTGCTTTTCCTTCCTATCACTAAACCACACACCGCCAATCCCACCATACACCACAACCAACTGTCAAACATTCCTACCAATGCCAGAAATATCTCTAACACTTTGTAATGAAACGGGTTGCTCCCTTATTCTAGATAGAAGGAGGGAAACTTGCTCTGTTGCAATATCCAGTCTTTCCTTTGACTTGGCAGATTCTGTAATAAGAGCAGAAACCATGTTTTGTAATAACTGTACTCTTTCAGCGTGATCCTTAGGTGCACTGTGATAAGACTTGGCAGAAGTCATGCTGATGCGACGCCACCGTGAGGGAAGATATCTATCGGGGATCTGAAAGCAATTTCCTGTTGAAAGAACTCTAAGAGCATGCCGGCAAAGAATTCCAGAGAACTCAAACTGGTGGCAGCTGCAACTTATAATTCCTTCCCTAGGAGCCCAATATACTCTCCGACCTCCCTCAGCTTTTGTATGGTGCCTCACAAGGAAACCATCTTCCAATGGAAAAGATGCATAATGAGCCCCCAACACAAGTTGCTCCTGAAGCTTTGAAAAGGCAAAAGGAGTGAGAATTGTGGCAGCATGTGACTCCATAGGGGCTCCAGTTTTGAGGCAAATATTTTGAAGATTCTGTTGCATAGTTTGTTGTTCACCAGTTTGATCTTTGAAATCCACAGCAACAGCTACCTAATTGTGCAAGCCCAAGTGAACAATAAGATAATGTTTTACGTCTTCCAAAATATAGGATGGAACATAGTATTGAGCATAATGAACATCCAAATTTACTTCCAAAAAAGAACTATCACACAGTGAAAACAATTTAACAATTTCCAAATAGAGAGTACCTGCTCTACAAAGTGTGCAAGCCGGGTCTGTGCACTCAGAAATCGCTGAATGAAAGCATTAATTGATTTTGACTGCCCAGTTGTAGTCATTCCCGCTAAAAAATGGCTTCTCAGAAATGGCAACGCCCAAAGTGAACGTAAAGTATATAAATTAGCAATGTGCCTGCTGGCATGCAGCCCAAAAGAACTGACCATATCCCTCCAACCTAGTTCAAAGTCCTCAACTGACTCAAGATTGTAAAGTCTATAAAATTCAGCCTTCCATTCATTGTAACGTTCTCCTAGAACAGCACTAAACCAAGAGGGAAATTTTGCTACAATCATCCATATGCAGAGGGCATGTTTAGTTGCTGGCATTTCAATGGCTAATGCTTCTTTGAGACACATATTTTGGTCTGTTAATATTGTCTGCGGAGCCTTCTCATTCATAAACCCTAAGAAAGCCTTCCCAGAAGACGATGAAACAAGGAAAGCAAAAGAAAACCACCTAAGTCAATTGTAGAGCCATTGAACTTTTCAAAACTTAAACGCATCCACGACATATGAATTCCACGAATAAGGGATGAAAGAAAGAAAATCAAATTAAAGAATTTCTCATCAATTATGAAAAAGCCTTGCCCATTTTTGATGAGTGGTACCACAAGACTATAGGATACAACCTCCATTCCCTATCACAAGTCACATGCTATAAGGGGTTTCTGTTTCAAAATTTGTCATTTTGCTAATTTTAATTTTCAAGAGTAATTAATACGTTTTTTTTAAAAGAAAAAAAGAAAAAAGAAATGACCTTGTAAGATTTAAAAATTACTAAACTCATGGTTTGCTGACCCATTAATATGTTTCATTCCCAATGCATGGGAAGTTGCTTTTGGTTGAACTTTGCAATATACCAACTAATGAGGCGTGAGAGGACTAAGTGTATTGAGTGAAAATTTGGAAAACCTGTAAGGTTTTTCACCCACCAACTAATTTTTAATGATCATCTTGGTGCATGTGAGGCAGTTATATTTGACTTATGATAAGCAACGGAGGGAATACTTAAATTTACTGGGGAAAATTGGTTAAAAACAAGCATCATGCAACAAAATCAATTTTAATGTAATTGGCCAACATTATGACCATCTGGCAATCAAGTAAATCCTGGAGACCACTCTATTGATGTGTTGGCTACACTAGACCAGTTAAAAGTTTTCTCTCCTTTCATTCCTTTATTATTGCCAAGCCACAAAAGCCAATCAACAAAAACATACAAGAGATCACGAAGGAAACAGAAGCTGAGACAAACAAATACAGAAACAAAGGTGAAATCATATAGATAGGGGAAAAAACTCTTAACACTACCTTCAATGCCCAAGAATATGACCTTAAGTTTTCTTCTCGCAGAAGCACACAGCCAAAAAAGCAAGGCATTCCATAATTATTCATTCCAACCCATATACCCAACGGCATGTCGAATGCAGTCAGGCGATGTGTTGTGTCAAATACCACTGCATCACCAAACATATCATATGACTGTATTGAGGAGGCATATGACCAGGCTACATTCTCCAAACAGCTGTTTGAATCAAGTGTGAACTCAAATTTGAAATTAGGGTCTTTCTCCTTAATATTTCTGCACATTCTTAGTAAATCTATGCTTTCCTCTTCTGGTTCTAATTTCCTAAATGATTGAAGTAAATTCCTCACATCCTTTTCAGTAAAAGGCAGATATCCAGGTTCCACACACTTCTCGAGCTCCATCAGTCGCATCATTTGGTGGACAGAAATCCCAGTTTTTGCATACATCAGGATTCGACTTTTGTCAGAATCTGAAATAGTTCTGTACGCAGGAAGAAATCGAACTTGATTCGGTTCTAAAAGTTCATGATTATGGTGGTTGGCAAAACCAGTAACACGCCATTCTGGAGTACCTAATTCTGTTGTCTTGCTTATACGCATGTAAGCCTGGCATCCACATCGGGAAGATTTTCGATTTCTTTGGGGTTTACTTTCAGTTGATGTTTTGACAGGAGTGTTACCAGCACGATGGCAAACAAAATAGCGTCTAGTCAGTCCTTTTCCAACACCATCTTTTCCCTCTGTACGGTGTCGTCGAATTGAAAACCCACACCGCTTGGCAAATTCACTATAAAATTCATATGCAGCATCATGAGTGCTAAATCTTTGCCCAATATATGGAATTGAATCGTTAGCAGTCTCCAAAGAGAGCCTGGTTTCATCTGGTGATTCCTCCGTGCTGCTTGCATCATCCAAAGACAGTGATCGTTGGTCTGAGGGATCATCATAAACTACCAACATTGGGCTAGCATCCTCAGACATTATATTCCAGTTACCAACTTAAGACAACCTGCACTAAACAACACACATTAACAAATAGATACCAACATAAACAACATGAATATGACAGGTAAAAAAAATGATAGGAGTAAGTGACCGAGTCTAATCTTGTCAACCAATTAATAAAGCATCACCACACATGGAAAGTGGATGTGAGACAGGGGGGGACCTCTAAGATAAGATTTCAAACAAGTTTTTACCACTGTTGTGAAACCAAAGCAACAAGAAACAAAAATATAGGATATCAATAGTAACATCGCTTTAAAGCAAGAAAATGAAAAAAGAAGCTCAAAATGATCATGACATCTGATGGATCTTCATATTATTCGAATTATGTGCAAGGAAGAACTTCTTCCATTTCGTCTTGCACCAAAATTCACGCTATAAAAGTACAATTATACGGGCACAAAAAAAAGCCCTTACTCCACCATCATCATAGGCGGACCTATATACACTAGTGAGGCATCTGCCTCCACTGAAATCCTTGAATTATGCATAGCTGATATAATGCCCTCTTGTTGTTCCAGATACTATGACGGAGATGCCTTGGTAAGCCAATTGATTCAGGCAACTCCTCCAAGCCATTGAAGAATCACAATTAAAACTCAAGCTTATAAATTTCCAGACACAACGCAAGCCAAGTCATTTACCAAAATTGATGATAAAAATATAATATTTAGATTGGAATACATTGAGAATTTTCTAAATTGATGATAACATAGAGACTAATAAACAGAATGCCAATACACAACAAAACAATCCAGAGCATATAAGTGGCCAGTTATCAGAACGAAGAAGGCAGAAGTATAGCAGCCGATAACACCCCAATGAAGCAAAAACCACTAATCAAAGTTTAAAAAAAAAAAAATCAATCTTTATTCAAAAGCGCCAATATTCAAACGATTACACCGACCAGATTCGACGCCAAATTAGAAAATGAGAAGTTTAGAACAAAGCAAGAAACGGTGCGAGGGCGTCCACAACCAAGCAGGGAACAGACGACGCGGAAAACAGATTCAAATCTAGATTCATAGCCAGATTGAACAAATCAATCTTACCGGATAGTAGGAGTAGACAAAGCCCTAGCGTTTCAAAATTCTCCAATACTTGCCAAAGAAAAACTCAACAACCACACAAGACCGATAACGGCGGACGGCGCCCGACGGCGAGCTCGACCAAGTGCTGAATGCAACGTCGACGGAGAACAACGGATCCGCTCCTTCAAACAAGACGAGACGGTGTTTCGTTAGGGTTATAATTTTTTTTTAATTTTTTTGAATTTTTTGCATTTTTAGTTTTATTTTTACATTTTTTTTTCATTCAAGTCACTCTTCTTTCCCCTCCAATTTATAAATTACTTCTAATATATTTCACTAAAACTAAAATAAAACTTGAACTATATTAAAAGTGAAAAAAACTATATTAACTATAATTTAAAACTTAACAACTTTGTCCTCTTGAATATATATCTTTTTTTAAAAAATGGGAAAATGACAATAAAATACCTTCTGAATTCCAAAAAGACAAATAAGGGACCTGAATAAGCAAAATGACAAAGAAGGCATCAGGTACCAATATGGGATTTTGATTTTGAATTTTACAAAACACATAGTGGGATTTACAACTTTCATAGTGAGAGTTACTACTTCGTCAATGGGTTTTGCAACCTGTTTTGAAGGGCCGAGCAAGTTTTGTCTAATTTTACAAACACATAGTGGGATTTACAACTTTCATAATGAGAATTACTACTTGGCCAATGGCTTTTGCAACTTGTTTGAGGGTTAGGCAACTTTTTTGTAAAAACAATACAATTCCACGCTGAATTTTACAAAACACATAGTGGGATTTACAACTTTCATAGTGAGAGTTACTACTTTGTCAATGGGTTTTGCAACATGTTTTGAGATCAAAAATCAAAATTCCAGATTGATACCCAGTGCCCTATTTGTCATTTTGCTTATTCAAGTCCCTTATTTGTCTTTTTGAAATTCAAGTGGTATTTTATTGTCATTTTCCCTAAAAAAATTAACTATTTATATAATAATAAATAATAAATTAAGAATAAAATAACATATTTATATTAATATAATTCACATTTAGAAATTTATATATTATTATTTTTTTAATTTTTAATGGAAATTGTTTCAGAGTTGGACATGAGATTTTCATCTCATATGTGAAATTATTTTGAACCATACATGAAATTTTCATCCCATATACCTCCTCGTTCAATTCTTTTGAAGTCATTTAATGTTTTTTCTTGTTCGAGAATCCCTTCACTCCTTCCGGGAGTAACTAGAAGTCAAGAACTAGTTTGTGATCTTACACTAACTACCTTGCTTTAAGTCCTCATATCTATGACGAAATGCTACAATATTTTCCAAAACCATAACAAGCAAATAAAAATTTTTAACAACAATCTACATGTTAGAAGTTAGACCTTATCACAATTATATGAATTAAACTTCTCAAAAATCACATATATTGATACTGTTAATCAAGAAAGTTATGAGAATTCACGTACTCGGTACTCCTTCTATAGATAAATGTGTAAAAGTTTAAATGTGAAGAAAATGAGGGAAAAAATTATAAGAAGAGTAAGATAATGAAAAATGACAACAAAGAAAAGTATAATGGGACAGATAAATACAGAAACAAATCTTTCCGTTGCTATGTGAGAAAATGGGAAAATGGTTTTCATGAAGATTGTTGTGGAGTTAGTTTGATTGATTTGGATCCTAACAATGAAAGGGTTTCCAAATTGAATGAAGGACTTGTTAACCGAAACAACAAGAGTTCGGCCAAAAAAAAAAAGTAAACAACAATGCCATAACGCACCATTTCAATGATTTCATCACACTGTTTTGGTTAACCCCATACATCACTCTCCCCAGCCAAGCCTATTTGCAGTGTAATGTATCAATTTTCAAGGAGCGCTCCTACACACAAAGGTTTTTTTTTTTTAAAAAAAATGGTTGAAAATAGAGGGGAGAAAAAGCAATCATTTAAGTGATTCAACAGTTATTTCTTTTTCTTTTAACCCTAGTTTTACTTTTTAACTTTTCTGTTGTTAACTTTAGGATTATTCTAATATCAGTTTTTTACAATTTTTTAAAATCTCATTTTACTTCGCTGACTATTTGCAACTTTTAAATTTATATTAGTTAATATCATTTTGTCTTTTTCTTAAAAAAACACTTATTTCTTTTAGTAAAACTGAATAAAACTAAACAGTGAAAAGACTTTATAATTACGAGGCGTTGTGATCCAACTCAATTTAGGGGGTGTTTGGCAATATGAAAACCATGGTTTCAGAAGCACTTTTCCGCAAAACGAGGCAAACTCCTCCACATGTTTACTTCGTAAACCGTAAAAACACTTCTGAAACCATGGTTTGGTTTCTATCCAAACACCCCTTTAGTTCCCAACAGTTGAGCTCATTTTAACTTCCAAAATTTAATTTATATCACCGGGAAAAAATAAACAATTAAATAGTATGTTGGGAGAATGGGATTAATCAATGACTCAATGATCCCTTTACTCAAAAAAAAAAAAAAAGACTCAATGATCCCATAAAAAAGATAAAAAGAAATAAAAAAGAGTCTCAACGATTATATTAATCATTATTTCGGTAAAAACTGTTTAAATTATTCCAAAAGTAGTCATATTAGCTCTAGGGAAATTTTCATCTCGAAAATCCATGTGTAGATAATAATTATTCTAAAGCATTTTATAAATTATCGTTGTTACTACTCAAAGTCATGACTGGCATTTACACATGATCAAATATTCTCCCTTCTAAAAGTTAGCTACTGCCACTAACTGAGACGATAAAACCCAGAAATTTCAGGTTGTCTTTCTTAAATGCCTAAAAGATAGCATCAATCCACAAAATGTTTGAAATTTACCGTCGTTGACAAATGACAACCACCAAAACAATACATATGTGAATTATATATCATTTCCATCCTCACCAATGGGATGAATGATTGCATTGATCTTTTACATTCATAGATTCCGAAGATGCAGAACAGCAATACTTCAGAACTGACTGATGCTGAATCCAAAAAGTAATGTTGACAAATAAATTGAATGACTGGGATCAGAAATCAAATTAGTAAAATAATGATAATCAAACAAATTAGAAAGTCCTCTAGTAATTCCTAATTTCATACATGATTGAAACAAGAGACAAAGTTGCAGCGCAAGTCATATGAGTATGGAGCTCCGAGAAAGGCGAGTTTGCACCTATAGCATAGACTTTAAAGCCCATTTTTTGGGGACTCACTATCAGTCGTTTCTCTTGCAGATGTCACTGCCAAGGCTTGTGAATTTTTCATTTCCTCCAACTGTCAAGGAAAATGGCATTTGGTGACTAAATCCTAAGACGGTGTAAACAGGACACTTCAAGCAACTATACAAGAGTTCATGAATTGTTTGAATAGCAACATATAAACACCCATAACAAAATTAACATGGTATACAAGTTAGATCTGTTAAGGCAAGGGAAGTAACAACTTCCACATATGTCATTACCCCACAATTTGCAAGTTACTCGTATACTGCATTCAGTAACAATAGAAATTTCTGGAGCAGTTATTAGTTTAGACAACCAACATCTTAAAGTGAGGCTATTGGCATAACAACAACATCTGGTAACAAAGGTTAAGAACTACTCCGTAAGGACGGGATGGAATGGATAATCCCATCAAACACAACAGATATGCAAGCGGCAGATTGTATAGATAAAGTTGCACATGAGATGAGTGGTATTCTCACATATTCTCAGAATCCCCTGCCCAGATGCACGGATATTTTGGCTAAGGAGGCTTGGCAAGTTAATGAAGAGTCTAGTCTCCTGATTTGCAACTTTGCTGTAATTTATCTATGTATTTACAGGGGAAAGCAGTATTTGTTAATTTTGGCATGGTCTGCTTTTCTTTGTGCTTGTCCCCCACAGCTGGTTGTGGGGCACATGCACACAGAGAGGAAGAATCAGCCCTGACCTAGGCAAATGGCCTCTGTTCCAAAACAGTTATACTGACGCAGTTAACCATAACACAGATGTTCCAAAACAGTTCTTTCCCTAGGCAAATGGCCTCTGTTCCCTTTTTCTTTCATCCATTACCATTGTCAATGGTTGCCAATTTTCTGCCACAATTTCCTATTCTTGTTGCTAACCAAATATTTCAAGTCATTATATCCCATGCTTCATACATTATAAGCAAGCATCATTTCTCTACCATCTTCAAGCCCAAGATGCCAACATCCCTAACTTGACACATAATCAACAGTTTGCGCTCGCAGACACAAAGAATGCTCCTAGTCATTTCAATATTATCCATTTCTTATAGAAAATAAGTAAGATGAGCATATCATGTTTTAAACTTTGAGCTACGTACAACTGACTAGATGAAACATACATGTTATATATGGAATGTATCAGAACTATTGATGTACCTATTACAAAAGAGCTTCATGGAACAGAGCAGTCGTTTATGGGTAATGTGCTGGTGTCTGGCGGTGAGTATGGGGTAGGATAGGCTTCTTTGATGACAAGAAAATCACATAATATGATGAAAAGATTGCAGGAGGCAATCAAACACCAGCACTGATATATCACTTATTTCCTAACACTTATAACCTTCGCTGTATACCAAGTAGATGCAAACTAAATTTTGAACAATAAATCTTTACACCTCTTTGGTTAATGGTAAAGCTTGAAGTTATCATGAAAAATTATAAACATGACTCCGTTAGTAGGTCAGACTTGAGTGAAGGCATTAAGATTTACAAGGGATTCATACCAATACAACAACTCATTCAAAAAAGTGTAAATGATTCAAGAGTACCTCTTTGCAGGTCTGCTGGTGTGCCACCAAAAGCTCATTATATTTCATTTGAAGATCGGACAATTCAGCTTGCAATTTTTCATATTCGGAGATAGAAGTACTGCCTAACTTTTGTTGAATGAACCTGAAAAGAGAAGTTTGTTATACATGTGACACACACAAATAGTATCATCTGAAGCTCAAGCCCTGAAAGTGGTTTATCTATTTGTGCGTTATCGCCTTAAAGTGATTTACACTAAGTATATGAAACTTGAATAGATCAAATTCAAATTTATTTTTTTTTTAAAAAAAAAAAGCAACAAAAGTAGAATGTACCACGAATTGAAGAGATACCAAATCTCCCAGCAAATTAAAAATGACTTCATTTTAGCCCAACTAATATTTATGTTCATACTGGTCTCTGGCACACAATTTTGCGCAAGCACATTGCAACAAAAACACACAGAAAACCATAAGATACTTACTCAAGGGCAGAGGAAGGCTTGTCATTTTGCTCATATAAAGCAACGAGAACTGGAAGACAGCAAAAGAGAGCAACAAAATGTTCCGCGAGTAAATTATTTGATGAAATGAAACAATTCAAAGAGCCATCAGTAACTCCAACAGACTCTTAAGTTGGGGAAGAAGTTAGAGAAACCTTTGGTGAGGGCATCCACAGCTCCGCTTGACTCCAGATATTTCCTGAACGCTTCCTTCTTCGCCTCTTTCTCCTGAATCAATATTCGCAGTGAGTTATGAAATTAACGAATCACCAGTTCTTAGAACATCAAACACGTACACTTTCATCATCGATAATCGGAATTCACAGAGAGAGAAAGAGAAGTTTATAACCTCTTTGTATCGCATCATGATCTTCTTTTCTTCACAACCACCAAACCAGATTTGGTAATGATGGTTGGAGTGGAGGGGATGGCCATGTTAATACAGAAAGCCAGGCAATGCTGCATTTATTTTAGTGGTGGGACCTGCCGTGGTCGACCGACCACATAATCCGAACCGTCCGTTGGGTCTAACGGTGGAGAAGCTTGGGGTCTGCAAAATGAATGTTATAAATAATTAAATAAAATAAAATAAAATATCGTTAGATTGTTTATCAGGCCGACTAACCTTATGCACTGGCCCTGCCTAATCACTTTGGGCTGAGTGAGGTCCATGCACTCCCACACAATACATCTTTTTTTTTTTTTAATAAGTATTAGTTTTATATAATTAAGTCTTGCAATATATTTCATGTGATAAATTAATTTTATATATCGGTATTATATGAAAATAATGTATAATAACCTATAATTTTAAAAGTGTAATTTTGATTTTTGGTTTTTTGTAAAGACTAAGACTAATTTATCTTTTCCATAGTAAATGCTAAAAATAGTTCCCATTCCCAAAACAAATTTTTCTTTTTGCTTTCAACTTTTTCCCCTAATATATATGAGAATTAATGACATAAAACAAGACAAGTTCATTTCATGCATAAATAACTATTCTTAGCCTTTTGTTTTTAACCGTAAATTTGTATGCAACCAAAATTATAAGTTTGTGGGAGAGAATATGTCCTTTGAGATAAAGAATATGCGGGGAAAAAAAATTTCAAATCATCCTTCTCAAATAATTAAAAGGGATAGCATTTTAAATCCAACATATATGAGCAGCTATTTGAATAAATGACATGAAACTTGACATGTTAATTTCATTAGCCTTTTGCTTTTCAACAGTACATTTCAAAGACCAGGAATATGGCCCAGAAATTTCAAATTATTTCCTAAAATGGCGAAATGCTACCACAATTATGTTCTGAAGAAAAACATGGATCCGATCACATCAATCTAGACAACATTTGAACTTCACTCCAATGACAACCTGTTGCCAATAACTATATCTAACAAATTTGTAACCTTCTAATGCGTAATTGGATTGCTACATTTCATGACAACCTGTTGCCAATAACTATATCTAACAAATTTGTAACCTTCTAATGCGTAATTGGATTGCTACATTTCATCATATCTTAAGTGAAGTTTAATTGTCATATCCATTACCTCGCTCACCAAGATCACCAAATAAATGTTAATACAATGAAAATTTTTAAGATAATAGCTATGAACTCTAACAACAACAACAAACCTTATCTTATTAAGTAAGATTGATTACATGAATGGTGTTGTACAATCCATATGTCCGATCCCAGTTAGTGAGATATGATTTGTTATTATTATTGTTTTAGAGCTATTCTATTATAATAGTTTCTTTAATAAGTTAGTTTCGGGGACATTTTCTTGCTGCGTTTTATTCCAAAACCCAAAAAAAAAAAAAAACTTCACAATAATGATTCGTCCTTCACGTGGCTGATTTTTTCCCCCCCAAAGAAAATCCGTGCGTCAATTATACATTATTATCATAGTCAACTTTTTTGGCCAAACTATTGTCACCCTCACCTAGATCAAAAATGGCATTGATATCTTACATTCACAGATTCCCAGGTTTAATAAACATAACTACTCACTACTTCCTCTTTAACAATGGTGCATGAAAGCATTACTTGTGGAACTAATTTTACCTGAGGAACTGACTGTTATTAACATCTTTGAAAGAAGCATCACATCTCACTCTCATCATCCAAAAATTTGTAGTTAACATTTAAATTGAATGCCTCGGATCAAAAATCAGATATAGCATACAATAATGACAGTGGCAACAAATTAGAAAGTCCTCGAGTATTTCCTAATTTCATACATGATTGAAGATATGGAAACAAGATCCTTGTTAAGTGCAGAGCCACCAACGATCTTCTTTATGCAATCTGAAAGTCTGGTATAGTAAAGCAACAGCTGAGTCAATGCAGCCCTTAAGATCTCCATGCCGCACAAGAAGTTGCTGAAAGAAGTAATCACATCTTTGTGCATCAACTCTATGGCAGCCTTCCATCTACTAGCAAAATCCTTCACCAGTGGCTCAACTTCGGCGACAGTTATGGGCTTATCGGAACTTGAAGTGGGGTCCTCAGCTGATATGTTATTACACATAATTAAGGCAAGTATCAGAAAAATACAAATTCAGACAAAAAGTCATGTGCTGTCATCTATTATGATACTCACAGGCTCTGGTCTTCACAAATTTGATTAAATCGTTAAAATGTTCTTGAAGCAATTCTTCCTGCAGGAATAAAAGACAATTTAAAGAAAACTGCAGATGAGGAGGGTCAAATGGTTGTATTCCCTATACTATAAGCATCCCTTCCTCTTTTGCAAGTTCTCCCAAAGCACTTAGATAAAGAAATAGTCAAACACCTAACTCGGTTCTTACAATCAAGACTTCATATGGTGAGTTTAGACATGAACACTCCATGACAAGACATGCTAAATTAATGCCGGCTTTAAACCTCTGAAATCTATATTTTTTCCCTTACTGAGACCAGATATATTAAAGAAAATGATTGCAGTTACCACAAATAAGGCTGTATTGCTCTTCAGAAGCTCCTCAAAGTGCATTTGAATTTTTCCACCTTCGGGACCCGCTTCCTGGAATCAGACAGGATGAAAATTTTCAGTTGCCAAGGCTAAGAAAAGGAGCAGCTCATGATCATCAGTGTTTGTGTGAACCACATCCCCTATAAAAAATGAAATAAAGGATCAATTCACAGATTCTACCTTTAGGACAGCAATAGTCATATCATAATTGTTTATAAGAAAAACAGTTTGCAGCTTCGGTTTTGGAAAATTCTTGGCAAGCTTGATAAGTAAGTCGTCAACAGCCATTCTCAATCGCTCCAAATTCAATTCAAGCTGAAACATATATAAGGAGAAAGATTGTATCACCAATTCACAAAAGAAACTTTCATGCCTCTTAGTTTTTTTTTTTAATTACACTGACCTGGCCATCCCCATACTCAACATTTAAGTGGATAAGGGAAGCTGTAAACTCAGCATAACGTCTCATGACATAGTGAGGGTGTACATCATCTTCCCATAATGTCTTTACATTTGCATTACGCAGGCTGCTGAGGTGCATGTCAAATACCATCTTAAAACGAGGCCATAGGGAAATATTGACCTGCCATTGTAAGATCCAAAATCTATTATGGATCAAGCTTAACTCTGTATGATGTACATGCCTATTGACACTTTTTAATCAGTTATATCCATTAAAACCATCAAATTGCAGGTCCATTTAAATCCAGACTTCATACTTGAGCTGGAATTCATACATGACAATAAATATGCAGTAAGTGAGAGAAATATAAGGAAATCAAAATACACTCCACAATACGTCTAACAATCTTTAGCTATTCTTAAAATATATAGAGCAGTCATGCAACATATCAATAGTTCAATCTAGAAGATGGGGGAGACGAAAATTTTATAAGACTTCATATTCCAGCAATTTTACATTCCAATCATGCTTGGAGTTGCACTCCAAACAACAACAAGCAGCTTCATCCCACTAGCTCTACTCCAAAATGATTAATAATTGAAATAAATGAAGTGATAGTGCAGGACCGTTAGTTATTATTTTGACCATATTATAGTACTACTAGCTAAGACTATGAATTAAAAGGAGCTTACATTTCGCTATGTACTAGGTGAGCTCTTTCCATTCAAATTAAAGGGAGCTTACATTTCGCTATGTACTAGGTGAGCTCTTTCCGTTTATTCATTAATTCTTTGTGTATACATGTTGTTTATTCTGCTATCCTACATGTCATTTATAGAGAGCATAGCTGGGGTGTATGTGTAAGCCTATTTATATCTTGATAGTGTGAATAAATCATCTGCACCTGCATTCTTTTCTGCTATTTTCTCTGATTTCAATTCTCTGCTAAGCATTAAGCAATGAGGCAGTTTCCTAACTTACATCCTTGATTTCAACCACTCCAATTGTACATAAAGCTAGATTGGCCCAACACAAATCCTACAGTTACTCATGAATCCTCATCCATTCACCAGAAAAATTTATCAGGTATCAAACATGATTAAGAGAGCCTTGTTTAGATAAATATATAGACAATGCAAACTGACCTTGTCAAAGTAAGAATCCAAGCATGGGATCCTCCTTCGAGACATAATGAGCTGAAAAGAACAGGCAAGTCAGCTACAGATTAAGTAGATTATTTGAAGTTGCACAAAAAATATTTGCCAAATGGCAGTGAATCTTTTTTTTTTTTTTTGTGAAAAATTGCTGCGGGAAAAAGATGTGTTAAAGCCATGTCAACAAAATTTATTTAAAATCTTATAGTCCAATCAGTGTAGTTAAAGGTGTTCATGTCAGAGTTTAAAGCACTTAGGTAAGGTACTGAGAAAAGCCCAGTGACTTTCACACTATGAGAAGGGCCAACTTCAGCCAAGCACTTTCCTGGCGGTGGCTTTGGTGCTTCTAGCATCAATCAAGGCAAGCCCCCAATGCATGTGTAATTTGAAGGTTGAAAGGAAATGGGCAACTTAGAAGATCAAGCCACATATTCAAAAGAAAGGTCATAGGTACAATAAGAAACTATAAAATCCAGTCTGAGAGGCCAAAAGAATGAGATAAAATAATATTAGAGGTGCATTTGATGATTATTATGTTTGATTAGTCAAATGTTGGCATGAATTTACCACTTTTGTTTATATAGCATACTTTTAGCTTTTTCCTGTTTAAATATGCTTATAATTAAATAGTTTCTTCGTTTTTTCCCTTGCTCATAAATAATGTTTCCCTAAAAAATGTTTAATAATAGTGGGTTAGGGCGATCCTTTTGTAAATTTAGTCCTCCATGATTTGGAGGGGAAAAAAGTTCATGAAAAACGACATTAAAAAAAAAAAAAAAACTTGACACATTAAGACTTTTTTCAATTAAAGGAGCAACAACAACGGTCTAAATTCACAAAAAAAAAAAAAATTACACGCTACCACATCACAAGCTCAGTGTATTAAGACTTAAAAATAAAAAAT